AATGGGTTACCATGGTCAAAGAATGCATCAGCTAGGCTAGCCTGCTAGAGAAAAACTTTTCCGTATTTACCTGGTTGGGATAGTTCTTAGGGAGAAGAAATAGTCTGTCAAATACTCAAAACCTTTCCAATGTGGTAGAACCCACTAGATATCCTGTTGACTCGGTCATTAAGAACCCATGGTTACTTCCACATTGAAATGAAGCATGAGTGGTGAGAGAGGATTATACTGGGAGAAGGAGAAAAGGAGAGGTAGAATGGGATAAATTATCTCACAAAAAAAACAGAAAAGAAAAGGCTCTTACAGTGGAGGGGAAACAGGGGAAGGGAATGAGTGAATCTTATTCTCATCAGATTTGGCTTAAGGAGGGAATAACATACACACTCAATTGGGTATGGAATTCTATCTTACCCTACAGGAAAATGGGGGGGGGAAGGGGACAAGAGAGCAGGGTAATGATAGAGGGAAGGGCAGATTGGGAGAGGGAGTAATCAGAAGCAAACACTTCTGAGGAGGGACAGGGTCAAAAGAAAGAATAGAATAAACGGGAGAGTAGAATAGGATTAAGGGAAATAGTTTTTCACAACATGACTACTATGTTTTGCATAACTGCACATGTATAACTTATATTGAGTTGCTTGCCTTTTCAATGAGGGTGGGTGGGGAGGGAGGAAGGGAGAAAATTAGGAACCCAAAGTTTTGAAAACACATGTTAAAAATAATATTTTTGCATGCAACTGGAAAATAAGAAATATAGTTAATGGGGTACAGAAACCTATCCTGCCCTACAGGAAAATAGAAGGAAAAGGGGATAAGAGAAGGTGGGGAAAGACAAAAGGGAGGGCAGACTAGGGGAATGCATGCCTTGGGGTGAAGGGAGGGGCAAGATGGAGTAAAAATCTGGAACTCAAAATCTTGTGGGAGTGAATGTTGAAAACCAAAAATAAATTAAAAAAAAGAAATGAAGCATGAGAGCATGACTTTCATACTACAGTCAGTGTTCATCATTGTTCAAATATGATTCAAAAATTTAGAAGCTATACCTTCTGTTTTTAACCTGATGGTCTATTGGGCAAACTCATCATCCATAATCATGGTGAAAGAAGGTGGGAAAGTGACAAATTATAATAAATAGCCCTCTGCTCATATTAGCATATTTCTGCCCAGGGTCATGAGAATAGGAAAATAAAGAAACAGTTTAAGAACAGAGGTGTCAACATGTTGGCATTAACTACTTTATAGATTGTTGATGCAGATTTGGTGACTGGTAGATATTACTTTTACATTTTTGCAGATAAATTTGCCTCTCCCCTAGATTGTTTTGTCCATGAGGGTAGGGACTACATATAATCAAAATTCTATCAGCCTGAAAGCACCCAGCTCTGTACTTTTTACCCTATGTGCATCAGTAAGTGTTCCCTGCTGCTAGGCAGAAATAGAAAGACAGAAGAGGATGTGATAAAAATACTGTATGGAACTGAGAAGTATGTCTCCTCCTTTCAAGCTTGACTACTTCTCTTATTCTATGTGAATAGGGATAAGTTTTAAGCTTCTTCAGGACTAATAAGATGAAAACAATATAGCCAAGGTGATTAAAAAAAAACTGTTTAGCCAACAGCTGTCCCTGGGATCCTTTTCTGTGTTCTTTTTTTTTGTTGTTTTATTTAGCTATGTCAGCAGGAAGATGTTTACTTTACTTGAAACCATTAGTTATTCTTTTATTTTAATTGCATCCAAATTCTACCATTAGCAGTATGCAGAGCTATAATAATTGGCATAGTGAAAGAATTCAAGAACACAGTACATTATCATTGGTGTATCCCATGAACTAGAAAAGTGTACCCAGCTTTCAACAATAAGAGAAAACACCTACCCATATACTAGGCTATTCTAAATTACAAGTGGAAGGTAAAATGCTGAGGAGAGTATGAGAGCTCATGTTATAGCTATTCTACAGAGCAGGAAGGAAACCTACAGGCACAAATCTATGGGGAAGAACAAATTGAAGAAGAGCTGGAGACTTCTTTATAATAGCAAAAATCTGGGAAAGCATGAGTGTCTTTTGATTGCTGGATGGCTGAATATATTGTGTGACATCCCAGACTCACAAAATTTGAGAAATGAAAGGGATTTCATCAGCCATCTAACCCAATCCATAAACAAAAGGAATCCCCATCATAAAAAAAAAAACTAATTAATGATTGTCCAGCTTCAGCTTGAAGATGTCCAAAGAAGTGAAACCCACTACCTCTCTAAGGAGACTTTTCCATTTTAGATAGCTCATTTCATTGAGAAATTTTCTTGACATGTAACCTAAATTTTCAACTTCCTAAATTTTAACCTCCTTTTCAGCTTCCAGCCATGGTTCCTGGTTTGGTCCTTTGTAGGGAAATAGAAGAAGTCTAATCTTTCTTCCCTGTGAAAGCCCTTCAAATACTTGAAGATGGCTTGAAGATGGATTCCCTCCTAAGTCTTCTCTTCTCCAGGCTACACAGGCCCATTGTCTTCAATCTATTCTCATATGCAATGGAATGAATGCCCCAAAACATCCTGACTGCCCTTTTCTGGAGATGGTTTATCAATATCCTTCTTAAACCCTGGTGTTTAGAACTGAACATAATAGTCAAGATAAATGATGGCAAAGTACAATGGAACTGTTACCTGGGTATTCCTGCTAGTTTTGCCTTTTCCTACATCCCCAAATTAATTCATGTACACACTTCTGGATGTCATTTTGCCTTAACTCATATTAGGCTTGCAGTCCCCTCAAAAGCCTAAATTTTATTAAGAGCAATGATTGTTTATGTATACCTTTCATAAAATGGAAGCAGATAGCAGAATGGATTAAAAACCTGGATCCTACAATATATTGTTTACAAGAAACACATTTGAACTACAGAGACACATACAGAGTAAAGATAAGGACTACAGCAGAATATATCATGCTTCACCTAAAGCAAAACAAGCAAAGAAACAAATGGGTAACAATTATAATATCACACAAAGCAAAACCAAAAATAAATCTAATTAAAAGAGATAAGCATAGAAAGAGAAATTCTATTTAAAATAACTGCAGACAATCTAAAATACTTGGGAGTCTGCCTGCCAAGATAAACGCAGGAACTATATGAACATAATTACAAAACACTTTTCATGCAAATAAAGTCAGATCCAAACAATTGCTCATGGGTAGGCTGAGCCAATATAATAAAAATGACAATTCTACCTAAATTAATCTATTTATTCAGTGCAATACCAATAAAACCTCTCCTATCTTATGCCTGTAAAGTTTATTTTTTGTGCTCAAGAGCAACAGGTTTCATTTATCCCTTTGTTTCATCCTCTTAAATTCAGCCCAATGCACTAGATTATATATATATATCATTTTAACTAATGTCTTTGTTATCCCATGATTGATATCTCTCCCAGTTTTGTTTCATCTGATGAGCATATTCTTTATGCACTTATTGAAGTTATGGATAAAAATATTAAACAGGGCCAGTCATAGATTATTGAGACATGCTAATGGAGAACTCAGACCACACTGACATTGAACTGTTGACTGGTACTCTTTGGTTCCTGGATTTTCTCATATGAATACACCTTCTCAATTTACAATGTTGTCATACCATCTTTTAACGTAACCTCTTTATTTGGAATAAGGTATGTGTGGGTGTATACACATATATCATATATGATATACATATATATGTGTGTACACACATATACATGTATACACATATGTGTATATATAATTTTGTTATAAAATACAAATATTATAAAAATTTATAATGTACTGGATCAGTAAGTATGAGATTCACATTCCCATTACTGAAGAGTAGAGCAAGGTAGTAGCAGGTAATAACCTTTAATAAGGTACATCCTTTATTTAAAAGAAAAAGGATAGATCAAATGGAGGGAGAGAGAATTAACATTTGTATTTTTAAGATGGTGTACTCATATTGATACAACGGAACATTATTGCATAACAAGAAACAGATTTCAGAAACATAGGAAGGCTAGTGTGAAGTGATACAAAATGAAGAAAGCAGAAACAGGAGTACAGTCAATACAATGGCTACATTGTTTCAAATGAAAATAAGAGTAAAATAGAGTTGAGCTCAAGAGAAATGCAATGACCAATTCCAATTCAAAAGGACAGATCATGAGAAACCTTCCCCTCCCATTTGTAAAGCAAGGGAAGGTGGAGAGGTGTACAGCAGTGGGACTTTGTAAAGGCTATTAGTTTCAGTCCCTGACAATTGTGTTGGCTTTACTATTTTATGCCTATTTTTCTTTTAAAATTTTTATGGTAAAAAAGCATTGGTAAAACTTGTTTTTCAAAGAAAAAATGGCAGCTCTATGAATTTTGGCAATCTTAAAGGCTGATACCCATGACTGAAGCTGGACTAATTGTGCAGCATTATAGAATCCCCCAGCATTCAGAGAGCATCAATGAGGATCATCAGATCATCATAGCTCATCAGAGGAATGACTGTTTCACTTTTCAAAAAAAAAAAATAAAACATGGCCTATGAATATCAAAATCAATCCTCAGTTTCTGCCTTTGGAAAGTAAATATTTCATGTATATTAAATTTTGTAATTGAAATATATTTTCAGATTAAAACTAGGTTTTACAAATATTTCTGCAATTTTAAAACATTCTTTAAAAAAACCTGAAGTAACAATAACTAAGAAACCAAGTCTAAAGTACCAATGTTAATTTAAAGATATTCAATATATCTTTCAAAAAGGCACAAATGTCTCCACTCTGTAGCAACGGCAGCCATGAGGGGAAATGAAGGATGTGAGCTAGCTAGATGAGATCACCAGACTCTGTATTTCTATTTTTCCAAATTGTGGTTGGTATGACATTATCAACTCAGATCAGAATTTCATTAGAAAATGGGCCATAGAGATGTGAGATTTCTCTCTTTTCCTTTAGATTCTCACAGAGCTTTAAAAAAAAAAAGACCCAAAACAATGTGCTGTACTCACGTCATTGCTTGATAAATAGACTCAATTCCATAACGCATTGCAAATTCATCTACTATTTCTTGGGATGCATCATCAAAGAAAACCTTCCAGGCTTCGTCTCCTTTGACTTCTGGGATTTTCACTCCACCATTAAATTTAACTTCAGTCAAGTAATGGAACAGGTTCTAAAGATAAGAGGGTTTTGAATTGTTCAGGGATTCCTCAGTGGAGGCCAGAACTGTTTAAATATAACTCACAGTGAAATTCACTCATATTATCTTTGCTTCTAAAGGTTTCTTACCAAGTACCTGCTTCTAAGTCCACTGGGGAAATAGCAGCAAGAGTGTGGCACATTCTTAATTCACCCTTTCCTTTCCTTCAAAGCCATTCCTGCTTTCAATTCTAACCATCTACATGGACCTACTTACTCAAATGGTTTATTTTTTAAAAAAAAGACATTTTTGATGCCTAACTTCAACCTTAATCTTGATGATTAATGATGTTAAACATCTTCAAGAGCACAAGAAACTACTACAGGTGAAATTTGGTACTGATGAGAAATACTGACAAAGTATACACTTCTGCATTGCTGAGCACAAGCTGATTTACTGGTCTGGCTTCCTTGGGCTGCCAGTCAATTACTGAGCCTTGGGGAATAATTTGGCCTTTATGACTATATTGATATAGAAGAGAATTAGGTCAATACAGTGCAGTGGTGGCAAAATAGTCCAGGCAAGGCTAAAATTAAGTGTTCTGTACTCTTACTAATCTCTCAGTCAAGAACTCTACTATATCCCAGAATACTCAGGGACTGTAGTGTAGACACAGGCTGTAAGTTGAAGACCACTATCTAAGATCACTTCTTCTTCTGGTTCTGAGACCAGCATGAAGGAACAGGAAGTGAAATCTATATAAGTGGTTCCATTTAGTCTGCCTCTTCCCTTCCTATATTTTGGTGCCAGAATTCCCTTCATATAGAAGGCAAAGTACCTTTGGGCAGTTTAAAAAAGATGTTTAAAATGTTTGGAATAGAAAGGCACCATGGTTTAGATAAAGGTTCTTAGCTTGGAGGTGAGGGGGGAGGTGGTTCCATGAACTTTTTTCAAAACAAATTTTTATAACTACAATTTAATATAATTTAGTTCCTATATAATCATACGTATTTCGTTTTATGCATTTAAAAACATTATTCTGAGAAAGAGTTCACAGGTTTTACCAGACTGCCAAAGGGGTCTATGACACAAAACAAGATTAAGAACCCCTAGACCAGGAGGACAAGAACAGTGGATTTGGAGTCAAGAATATCTGGGTTCATACACCTCAGATATATGCAATAAGTGTAACCTTAGGCAAATCACTTAATCTCTCTCTGAATCACAGTGTCATCATCTGTAAAATGTAGATAATGACAACACTTACCTATTAAGGTTGAAGATAATACATATTAAATTAAATGACACTTTGCAAACCTAGTTATATGAATTATTGCTACTATTACTGTTGGTATTATTGTCATGAGTAGAGTAAGACTTGAAATCAAGGCTCTATTCCTAAGTAATTTGTGAACTAAATCACTTAAATTCTGTGGAATAACAAGAAATTAGTTTTAGACTAGTGAAAAAGCTGTTCCATTTGGAGTCAAAGGGAGGACCAGGGCTAGACTCCTGCCTCTATCATTTGCTCCCTGGGTGATTTTAGGGAAGTCCTTTAATCTATCTGGGATCAAGGTCTTCATTTATAAAATGAGGCAGTTAGACTAGACAACCTCTAAATACAAAATCTATTATCCTCTACATCTCCCAAAGTTAATGTCAGAAACAAAAGACATAATTATTTTACCTTTTTTAAAAAATGTTTATGAAGCCAGTAGCTATCTGGACATGCGAACATCTAGACAAGTGCCTCTGTTCATCCTTGCCCCTCACTATATTCAGATGCTGACCTCACACTAGGATGTGTTCAAAAATGGTTTATTCCTTCTGTAGTTTTGCCCCTACCTGCGTGCAAAACACCTGGAAGAGAAGCCTCTGTGTATACAAATGGGGGTCCTTTGAAATACCAGTAAAACTGGTGAACCTCTCTTAAATGTGGCAGTCACTCTCCAATTAGAAGAAAAGAGTTGGGATGAACATAAGAGCACAGTGCCTGGCACACAGCAAGTGCTTAATAAATGTTTAGTGACTGACAAACTCAATATTTATGAATCACTTCAGACTTTCAGAAGAGGAAAAAAAAGTACATGAAAAGAATCTTTTCCAATAGCTGGGTTCCAGGTGAGGGGCACTGTTCTGCTGTTAAATTGTGAAATGAGTCATTAATAAATTTATGAACGTTTTATTATTCTAGCTCTATACAAGGTCTCCCAATTGACTTCTGAATTGCGTCCAAATTATAAATTTTGAGCTTCAAGGCCTTTTATCAACTGGCTCCTCTCCCACGTAACATTAGTTATACTATGGTTACCTTCCTTCAAAATACTACTCAAGATTCGCCATTTCTGTGAAGTCTTCCAAATATGTCAATATGTTTTAAAAATTTTCAGTTTCATAAGTGTTTTCATGAGAAATCACATCATGAATAGAGGGGTCAACCATGAAATCAGGAAGACTTGTTTCTCCCTCAGTCACTGAGCTATGTGCCACTATAAAAAAATTGCTAGTGTTTTAGGTTTTCCTAGAGTTTTAGACAACTCTTCAAGATCATAAATGACAGAAGAATTGCTGATCTGCATTGGTGGAGGGTATTTCCACATCAGCAGTTCTATACACCCAATAAAATTTCAGGCTCTCTACAATTCCTTGTCTTCCCTAAAAGATTAAAAAAATTGGTTCATTAATAGTTGTCTCTTGTGTTAGTTAAATTTCTCTTATTATATTGCAAGCTCTCTAAGCAAAATTCTATGCCTAATTGTTCATTTATTCACACATGTAGGATTTATTAAGCATCTACTATGTGACAGTCACTATACTAGGCACAGGTGGTAGAGAGATAAAAGAGCAATGCTCTTGTTATCAAAAAGCTTATATTATGTTGATAGAAACAATTTATATGCAAGGAAATAAAATGTAATTTGAAGAAGTGAAGGGCACTCAGACCTGGGCTGACCATCAAAATTAGAACTAAGCTAACTCTTTCTTTATACTTCCCAATAGCATTACCTGCCACCATATTCTACCCAATGTAGATGTTTAATAAACACAATTGCCTGAAGGTTCACATATGATAGCCAATTAAGTTAGACTTATCTAAACTTTATTATAGTCATTATTTGATTTACTTACCTCATGCAAACATGTGTACTGTATATGATATGGTGCAACCTTCTCCTCTCCTTTTATTTCAACATTGATTTTCAACCTAATGGCACCAGATACAGCTGATTTATCTGTCCTTTTCTCTGATGAAAGGAAAAGCAATTAGTCATTTTCTACAGTACCATAATTCTATGTCACAAGAGCTCATAAGCTCAAAGCAAATAACGAATATTAAAAATGAATATTTCTAACTCCCATAAGACATGTCCATTGAGTAAACATGATTCACACAAGTCAGATTCTAAGGTGAAATCCCTCTGTTTCTATGTTTTGTGGTAGGATGATCTCTAAGATCACCTTCAATTTCCAAATGCTTTGAAAAAATTGATGTATCTTGTTTTTATATCACCTTCATTTTCAAATATATTCCTCCCCTTTCTCTACCCAGAGAGCCATACCTTGTAACAAAGAATAAAAAAGAGAAAGGAAAAAAGAAGTTCAGCCAAACAAACCAGTATATCAACTGAGTTTGACAGTACCTGCATATTTCTACACCCATAGTTCCCCCAACTATAAAAGACTATTTTTCAGTTTAGGTCAAGCTTTACAATCCTTTCAGAGAGACTCACCATGCAGATAAGGCTGGCCAACAGGTAATGAATTTATTTTTTATCCACACAATTGATGAATATCATCTACTAGGATATGGAGAAGTCACCATAGATGTTTGTCACCAATGAAATCACAGATGCTTTAACCACTGAAGTAATGCTATCATTAATACAAGTTAATTTAACTTTATTTAACAATACCAGGCACTTCTACAGATGTAGGTATATTTATCATGTTTAGGATTCTTGAAAAAGTGATAATTTGGATAGTAAGGGAAGTTATCCATACTAATGGGGCCAATGGAAGTAAGACTATTAATGTTTATGGACAAAACAGCAGCGTCATTTGCTCTAAAGCTTCAACAAATAAAATGAGTGATTGGGAATTCCTCTCTCTCTCTCTCTCTCTCTCTCTCTCTCTCTCTCTCTCTCTCTCTCTCTCTCTCTCTCTCTCTCTCTCCTTGGTCCCTGTTTGAAGGTTCTTGGAAGATAGCAGGCACTTAAAAAGAAGCTTTTAGAATAGAAGTTCAAATGGGAGGCAGAGGGAAAATCAAGAAAAGCAAAGAGAATAGATAATACGCATAGTTAATAATCATCCACTAATAATTGAAGTTCCACAGCATCTTTGTCGTGGAACAGAATTTTATTCAAATACACAGCCTGGTCTTACAAAGAAGACAACCAGATTAAAATTGTAGAATTCTGTAATGTTCATTTCAATCAAACAAATGATCAATTACATCACACATTTAAAAGTGAAAGGGAACTAGCAGTTATCCAAATTAAACCCTGCATTTTACACATGAGGAAATGGAGGTTCAGAGAGGTTAAACTAATTTGCTAGATGTCATACAGCTAGTAGGTTGGTAGAAAAGAAACTGAAATGTGGGTTCTCAGATTCTAGATTCAGCATTTGTTCCACTATATCATAACATCTCTAACAGTTGCCTTGACTTTTTAAACTGAATTAACTGAAGTGGCTACTTTTGGGTTTCCTTCTCTCCTCTTCCTGTCTCTCCATCCCTCTTCCTTCTTTCCCTCTCCTCCTTTTTCCCTCTCTCTTTCCACATGTACTCACCATTCATACCTTCCCCCTCACCCCCCCAATGTGATTTCTAGTACCATATGTGAAAGGAGGGATAGAAGCAAAATCATGACACTTTAATGCAAATTAGAAAATATGACCCAAAAAGGGGAAATGGAAAAGAGTCAATGATAGGATGTTTTCTTCACTGATTTTCTACATCTTTGCCAAAACCTAAGCATATTCCTGTTATATATCTCAATTGGAACAAATTATGAATTCCCTGAAGTAATTAGGCACATTAGAATTCACAGTATTTGAAGTTGTAATTATGTAAATGTGGTAACTGATTTCAGCAATGGAAACACACAGTGCAAATTTGAATAACATGACCAGTTCAGGTGGAGTTATTATTGTCACCAATTGGGACCTTGCTATAGTCATGAGAAGTATTATGGTATGGTGAAGAGAGAATTGGCTTAGGAGTCAAATCCTGCCTTATTAAATACTGAGTGACCCTGAGCAATTTACTTAACCTCTCAGTGCCCTCAATAATTCTCTAAGACCATAAGTAGCCAAAAAGGCTCTGAAATTCATAAGTGGAGGGAGTCCCCAATCATCTATCTATCCTGAGATTCCGCATAATTCTTACCACCTATTTTTATTACTTTGAATTTTAAAAAGGGAACTATATTTCACTGATACTTCCCTTTAGGTGTGTCAATAGCATGAAAGATCTCGATTGCTGAAAAGAAAACCTTTTATTTTATTTTATTTTTTCCTCCATCCTAGGTCTGAAGTATCTTCTGGGAATTTTGAAGCAAAAACAAAAAATCAAACAACTTGAGATATATTAGTCACAAAATTCTCCTCTCAGAGCCTCAGGGCTGTTTTCACAGTTCTTTGATTTCAATTATCATTATTCCAATCTCCTTTCTACCCATCCCACCTCCCACTTTTTATAGAAATAAATTCTATTTTTAGAAGCACTAGGTTGTTTTTGTTTGTTTGTTTGTTTTTGTTTGTGTGTTTTTTTAGGACTTCTATTCAGTATAGTGGTATGGGTGCTGAATTAAAAGAAAAGAAGAATATAGATTAAGAATAAAGTATTTGTGTGGATTCAGTTTTTATCTATTGTATTAATAATAATAACAGTAGTATTGATAAGTAACATTTATAGCACTTCAAGGTTTTCAAAGCACTTTATAAATATTGTTTCACGTTATCCTTACAACAAACCCTGTTAAGTAAGTACTAGGAGGAAACTGAGGCAGAGGTTTAGTGAGCTACACAGCTAGTAAGTGGTCAGAGTCTGGATTTGAACAAAGGTCTTCTGGGATTCAGCTCTCTATTCATTGTGTCATCTAGTCAAAAATCTCTTCTTTTTAAAAAGAAATAACTCTCAAGAACATTAAGAATGAAGGGTAATAGGGTGAGTATGTCAGTGAGGAAAGAAAAGCTTCCTTCCGCTATTATGCTTTGTAATCTTCAGTTATAGAACCAAACTCTAGTTATGAGAATCTATTGTTATTAAGAACATTCAGGTTCTTCTGCAAAGCTCTACATATCTGTAGTTTATTCTCTATATGGGTAATTAATCAAAATACCAAACTGAGGAAGCCCCTATTCTAAATCATAGCCAAACTGGAATGCATTTAAAGACAGTCAAGTAGTTTTGTCACACAGAAAAAATATTCTAAATACAGTTTAATCTCAGTGACTCAGATTTCAGTAATTCCAGATAATTGAACATTGATTGAGCTGAAATTTACTCCTGTTTAGCAAACTAGTTCTCAAAATACAGAGCAAATTAATAGTAATTTTTTAAAAAGTTAAGAAATAAAGGGTATTCTATTACTTGAGAAAGGGGGGGAAAAACAAAACTTGTCAGGTAACCACAAGCATTTTGAAAGTATCTATTTACATACAAAGAAATATTTTAAAGTATTTTGAAAACTATTCTTTTTAAAAACTATTCTTTAAATTAGGTACCCTGAAGATTTTTGCTAAGTAACTTAGTCAAACCTAGTTTGACCTGTCATGTGCTTGGAACTTACAAAATCACCTTTCTAATATAGAAGACTCATTCATTCCAATGGCTTTCCTTTAAATCTGTCAAGTGTGAAATTATTGCCAGCATGAAATTTTTCAAGAAGAAAAAGCATTCTTTCATTTGCTGCAACTGTATTTATAGACTAATAAGTGTACTTTAGGACATTGTTATTTCTTATTGGATAATGATTCACTGAAGACTGAAAGCAGTGTAATTAAAATAAACAAATGCTTTGACTAAATAAAAGTCTCTAGGATCAGTTCTTTAAAAGGAACTCTGGTGAATGAGATGCCCTTTAACTATTGAGTGGGGCAGTAAACCAGTTTTTTGCATAGACACCACATCTCAATTTTGCCAGTGGTCAAAGCCCAGTTATCTATAGCTGACTCCTGGGAATATAATTTAGATTTTTGTTTCCTTAATTTTTGCTTACCAGGTGACCTAATTTTTCTTTAGGGGTTGGGGAGTGGGGTGGACCTTCTAAGGAATTCCTTCTAAGGAATATCGTCTACCAATACAAATAGATATAGACAGCTTGACATTGTAGATAGAGAGTTGGTCTAAAAATTAGAGAGAACTAGATAAATCCTGCCTCTGAAACATATTGGCTTTGTGACTCTGGGCAAGATGCTTGACCTGTCAGGGTCCCAAGTATCTCTCTAAGATTATAAACTACAGGGAAACTAAAAAAATACTGTCGATAATAATATCAATTGACATCATCAGCAGCAGTACCGTAAGCATTTATGTAGGGATTTAAGGTTTCAAAGCTCTTTTTACAGATAATTTCATTTTATCTTTATGATAACTCTGAGAAGTAGATCTCATTATTACCCCCATTTCACAAATGAGGAAACAGACATAGGCTAAGTGTCCTGCCTATGGTCACAGCTAGTGAGTTCAACCTTGAACTCAGATCTTTCTGACTCCAGGCCCATCACTCTATCCATTTGGACCGCTTAAAGTTTTGCAAAGTACTTTACGTAAATTATCTCATTAAAGTCTCAGGACAATCCTAAGAAGCAAATATTACAGTTATTTTTATCCTCATCTTACAGATAAGGAAACTGAGAGTCATGAATGTTAACTGGCTTTCTGTCGGCCACAAAACTTTTAAAGGTCAGTGGCAAGATTTATGCCCAAGTCACTCTGAATTCATTTACAGAACTCTAACTTTCACAAGTCCTTGCCTGTCAAATGACTTTATCACTAGGCAAGAGAACTTGAAGTATATTAGATCTTTTTATGATGCCCAAAGTATGGTTATTATCAAACATTCATTTCCTGATATATAAGTAAAAATAGGGATCCAAAATATATTTTTAAAAAGTGTTGCCAAGTTCCATTTAGGGAACCACAATCAAATAAGTCCATAACTGCAAAAACATATTTGTTGGATATTTGTTTTCCTGGAATTTGGCATACATCTTTGCCAATGCATTTTAGTTCTTGGAGGTATTTTTTAAAATGATATAATTACCTTAAACTTTCCCTGAGATACAGTTTGGTGTAGTGAATAGAGGTCAGCTTTAGCGTCTGGAAGACCAGTTTCTGACACATACTATCATGTTCCGTAGGAAGCCTTTCCTGGGCTCCCACAGCTAGTAAATTTTGTAAGTACCTATTTATATACTTGTTGTCTCCCTTACTAGAATGTTAGCCCCTTGAGGACAGGTATTATTTTGTCTTTCTTTGTATCCCTTGTTGGTTAGCATAGTGCTAGGCATATAGAAAGTACTTATGTGAATTTGTTGATTGATACTAGTGGTGTGATGAAAGGCAAATCACTTAACCTCTCAGAGCCTGAGAGAGGTATCTACTACTATAAACTACAGATATATGTAAATGAAAAAAAAATTGTCTGTATAGGAGGTTGGTTCCTTATATTAATGAAATCATAGATCCTAGACAGGGGTGGGGAACTTGTCCTAGAATAGCATCAATGGTTTTTATTACATATTACATGTAAGTCTTTCTTTGAGTTATAACCCCATTTCCCTTTCCTTTGAATGTGCATTCAGGGGAAGTAACCATCTTTACTTTCCAGTTGAATTATATTGTTTCATCCTCAAACTTAGTCTATAACTCAAAATCCAAGATCAGTTGACATTAGGAGACATCGCATAGTTGTATACCTATGGAAATTTTGGTACATGACTTAAATTAGGGGCCCTTATTTAATTTATTCATGAAACTTATAAAGATAGTTACCTAGGTTGTACCAGACATCCATTTCTCCACTCAGTGTCCTTACTTCAACAATTGTTTGTCCCAAAAAATCATCTGATTCCTTTTTGAAATGTTGCTTGACTCTTGATTTAATGTCATCATCTTCATCCCATACTCTGACTTTGATTCGGTCGGTAGAGTTATGGCATTCACTAAAAATAGATATGTAAGTTAACAACCATTCTTCATAGTCTCAAAAGGAATCTGGGGCAAAATTTATTTTACATCTATCAGATTCCTGAAGAAGTACTGAGTAACATAATCTGTGAGGTTTTGAACTAGGTTGATCTCATTTTAGGGAACATGAAGATACACAGCAAATCATGATTATACATAAGCTCTAATAGTTTAAAGCTGCACTAAGACTTTTGGGACACCCTGGATAAACAGCATTATTTTCATAGAACCAAACAGAACCTCTGACTTAAAGCTGAATCTTCTAACTTTACCTCTATGACTTATTACCTTATACTGTTGAACCATAATCAAATAGAGTTAAGAAACTTTCCCTGAGGCAGCTAGGTGACACAATAATAAATTGCTATACTTGGAGTTAGGAAGAGGTGTACTTGCATTCTCTGCCTCAGACACTTATTGGCTGTGTAACCCTGGGTAAGTCAATTAAACCTCTCTGTGCCTCAGTATTCTTATCTGTAAAATGGATTTAATCATAGCATTCACCTCATAGAGTAATTGTGAGGCTCAAATGAAATAATCTATAAAATACATATCATCTACATCTATATCTACCTATATATAAAGAGATACTGTATAAAATACACCACACGCCTCAGAATGCTATGTGGTTAACTATTATGATCACCATTATTGCTATATGTTAGCTCATGACTTTTTTTTTTTAAATTCAAAGAGGATATGTTAAGCTATCAGCTATCAAAAGCCTAATCTAATTCTGGCCTCACTGTGGCCTAGAAGTGACTCTGTATTTTTGAAAGCTGCTCTAGCAGATCCTAAAAGGTTGAAAAAACTTCAAGTGAGGCCTGGCACCAGATTGTGTATCTCAGTCAGTCAAAAAGCATTTATTAAGTATTTGCTATGTTCTAGGAACTGTGCCAGGTGCTAGGGATAAAATGGAAGACAAAAACAGTCCCTAGCCTCAAGGAGCTCACATTCAGATGGGTGAGCCACCTTATAAATAACTAGGTATATACGAGAATATCTATCTATTTATCTATCTATCTATCTATCTATCTATTTATATCTATCTATCTATCCATCCATCCATCTATCCATCTATCTCTCCATCCATCCATCCATAAATCTATCCATCTATCCATCTATCTATCCATCCATCCATCTATCCACCCATCTAACCATCCATCTATCTATCCATCTATCTAGTTACAGGAGAGGGAAGTTAGAGACAGAAGGACAGAAAGAGAACATGTAGAAAAGAGATCTCATATCTGTCAGCTTAGTACCAGACTAAGTTTGAAAAGACTCATTACCAGAAAGTTGGCCACCAGGCAATGAATTTTGTCAATGGCTGTAACAACATGATATAGAAGAAAAAGTACTAAATTTGCGGTCAGTGGGCCAAAGTCAAATCCAGGTATTCTTTACTACTGATATGATTGTAGGAGTGATGCTTGTGGAGATGTACACATACACACATATAATACATACTTTGTACATAAACATATATATGTGGGTATGTGTGTATACACACACACACACATTATATATATACACACACACACACACACACACACACACATATATATACACACACACACGTGTGTTTTTGTGCATGTGCACACATTTATATATGTCCCTCCTCATGACAGAGCTGAATGAGAGCTCAGCAGGAGATTGCCAGGTCCAGCAGAAGAGGAAATTCCCCTGATCATTACATTGAATCTCAAGTCATTTTACCTCTAACTCTCAATTTCCTCATCTATAAAATGAAGGGATTGAATCAGATAGTAAGTAGGTGGTGCAATGGATAGAGCACTGGACCTGGAGTCAAGAGTACCTGAGTTCAAATCCAGCCTCAGACACTTACTAGCACTGTGACCCTGGTTAAGTCACTTAACCCTATTTACTTCAGGTCCTCATCTGTGAAGTGAGTTAGAGAAGGCAATGGCAAACCACTTTAGTATTTTTTTCTGCCAAGAAAACTGCAAATGGGGTCATGGAGAGTTGGACATAACTGAATTGACTTAACAACAACAACCGATGTCATGTTGGTAAATGTTTAACCACCAGCTCTCTAGAAAAAAAATGAACATGATACACTTGAAAATTTAATCTGCATTACTGGCATTTTTCCATCACTTTCAATCAGCAAGATAATAAATGAATCCCTGATTTGTAGTTTTTCTTTTTTTTCCCCCCAGGTAAAAATGCGCACATTGAAAATTTAGCAATCAACCCACAAACCAGTTTAGGCTGGCTCTAGTATATCCCTGCCTCTGTCATTACTCCCAGCTCTAAAAACCCAAGATCCTATTAACTTCCAGAGACTCTCTACCAAAGTACAGAGGGGTTACAATGGCTATTCTCAGAAAGAACAGCTACACCTGTGAAATCACAGACCATTAAAGTAATAAAGTAATAAGTTCAATATTCACCTTGAGAAAAGCTAGCCCCAGATTTATAATTCTACTACTGCTATAAAACATCTGTAAGACACAGAAGAAAATAGAATTGAAAGTTTTAAAGAATTGTTTTTCTAAGGTGAAGTTTTTATTCTTTTTGAGACAACTCAATATATATTTGCCATGCATTCAAGAATGAACATTTAATTTTGATTATCATTCTCAAATGGTTAAAAATGTAAATACCACCTGTCAACGTATTTGAAATTAACAATTTCTGTAAAAATTTTAGAAACGCAAGGGATTCTAGAGATCTTCTAGGCCAGTCTTATCATTTTAAGGATGAGGAAACTGAAGCTCAGGAGCTAAAGCTGCCCAGGGTCCCATAGCTAGTTAGTGTCACATCTAGGGCAATACTCCAGGACCTCTGCCCCAAGTCCACTGCTCTACTCCACTTATAAATCATTTAAATAACTCATGGATTAATTTCAGGCATCAGAGTTTTACAGATGCTACCATCTCTTATCAACAGACACTGTCTCCATTTCTGTCCAGATGAAAAGAAACCTTTTGTTCTGGTTCACTGAGCATAATTAGCAGAAAGCAAGGTTCATCAGCTGATTCCAAAGGCAGCAACTTTATAGTCCTTTAGTGATGAAGTAAGAATATTTACTGGAGAGCTAAGAGTGTGGCATATGAGAGTCCAAGGAATAAAAATTAAAGGAAAAAAAAACAGAATAACAGAGTTAGGATAAACAACTGAAAAAAACCCTCACCCATCACAGTGGAAGTTGCCTTCATTGATTAAATAAAATTCTTCATTCTTCTGTGACAGTGGCAAAATGACCTTGCTGGACAAATGCTGTTCCTTCCTTTAAGTTTCTTCATAAATTTATGATTTTTAAACAATTTGTTCTCATTGGCCATGGTGGGCCTTGTCCTGCTACCAGAAGGCTGAGGTTGGTGAATCTCTTGAGCTAGGGAGCTCTAAACTGCAGTGGGCTAAGCCAGTTGGGTGTGCCCTCTAAGTACAGCATCAATATGGTGGCCCCAGAGCAAGGGGCCACCAGGTTATCTAAGGAGGGAAGAACCAGTCCAGACTGGACAAGAAACATGAGCAATCCCTGCTCTTTTAGCCTGAACAAGATAAGAAACCCAAGGTGGGTAAAAGAAAAAAGAGAAAAGAAGAGAACAGGAAAAAGAAAAGAAAAAAGAAAAGAAAATTCTTAGACATAAGCTCAGTTTATAATAATGCCCCCCATCCCTCACTAAAAACACCACTCTGTATTTAGATTCAGTGGCAGTTGGGTGGTACAGTGAATAGCGTGCCAAGCCTGAAGCTGAGATAACTCATCTTCCTGAGTTCAAATCTGACGCAGATACTTACTAGCTCTGTGATCCTGGGCAAGTGGCTTACCTCTGTTTGCCTCAGTTTCCTCCTCATCAAAATGAGCTGGAAAAGGAAACAGCAAACCACTCCAAGAAAACACCAAATGGGGTCATGAAGAGTCAGGCACAACTGAAATGACTGAACAACAACTAAAAGGTTTAAAGGAAAATTTCTGTTGATGATGGAAAAATAGTAATCTTTGTCATTTTATGGAAGAAAGCTCAGGTCTCTAATTCTTTTTAGTTCTATCTTGCTCAATTTTTCTTAATGACGGTACTTTCTTTCCTTATTTCTAAGGAATTATTTGGGGGAACTAAGAAAAAACACCTTACCATTCAGTGTTCATATCTTTCCTAAAGTTAATGCCTGCCATTTGCAATTATAGATGTACATATGTGTGTATATTTCCATACATGATTATATGTAGCCTCACAGTATGATGTCCCAAATATCTCAGTGCAACTTACACCTTAATAAGTACATAGTACGTATAGCATATGTGTATATATATATACATATATATACACACATATATACATATATGCATATACATACACATATGTGTATACACACACATATATGGATACTCAAATTATTGGGCTTGTTTGTTTTTGTAATCAATGAGATCAGCTCTATAGTTGATCCTATTCAAGTACAAATATACAAACTAAACTACCAAATTGATTTTCTAAGATCGGTTTTTTGTTATATAAAATAACCCTATTTCCTCTTCCATTCCAGCATAAATAAGCACAGCTTAACTCAGCCTGAGATGGATTACTCCACATATAGAAATATTCTGAGGTTTTATCAAAGTTACTGCTACCTGACATTGATGGAAACATGAGGTACTGGAGATGTAACAAATGTGAAGCTATAAGAAGGCTGATAGAAGGGGAGAAATAACTGTTCAGAAACTAGAAACTGCCTCTGTAGTCTTGGGGCACATTTTGTAAGTCCTCACCACCTGCTTTTTCCTCAACTCCTTGCAATATGATTTCTATCCTCAACATTCTCCTGAAAAAGTCAAGCACCCATTATCAGCTCTGAAAATTGGTGGTTCTAGTTAACTTAAAGTTTGAGACCAGCGGTGGCTAACGCTGTGTAGATTCTGGGAATCATGAGGGGGGAAAACTCTGTCTCTGCCTCTTACTCTCTCTCTCTCTCTCTCTCTCTCTCTTTCTCTCTCTCTCTCTCTCTC